TGAAGAATTCCCTGAAGACTGGAGAAAGGAATTCCGTATAAACAAGCAATTGGTAAACACGAATATAAATAACTAGCCATTTTGGCTAAAACGGGCACCAATTACTCCAGTGACTGCAGCAAGCACAGGTTTACTCACATCACAGCTGTTATCATTTGTTATTTTTAAACTTAACTGTAGATATATCATTGTGTTAGGAGGAAAACATTTTACTGAGTGTAGAAAACACTAAATTTATCCATATTGCTGAGAGGAATGTGAGCGAGAAAACAGCATAAATGCAACCAACTGGATCCGTCTTTATGAGCAAAGCTACTGCATAATGAAGTCATATCACCATAAAACTGACTGTGATGCATCAAATCTTATAATGTTTTGTGGAAAGAGAACATTATTCATGCACCATTATCGTCAATCAATGTTCATTTAGCCATTGGGGTTATTGACCCTTTCTAAATTACGGTATAATCTTCCGAGACAAACCATTATACACTGTAAAAAGTGAAAATGTGCAGCTATTTCCACCTGATCTGATCCGTTACTTTTGTTGGTCTAACCCAAAGGTGATTCCCTTTCATGGGAACTTCGAACTGCGTCCTCTAGGGGTTGCTATGGGGAACGCCTCGTCGTGACCCGTGTCTGAAGCATACATTGAAAAAACACCAACTCGTTGGCTGGCGACAGCCATGACGTCACTACCGGTGCGACTACAGTATAAATAGGCGCCGGGAGCTACACATCATTCTCTTCTTCATCTTCATTGACTGTTCTGTTTGAAGCGTTCATTTCCAAGGAAAAAGTAAGAGCGATCTCTATTTATTATGGTGAGCACTAGTAGAGCATTTAGAAGGTGTGTGTATCCGTGTCATCGCTATTTGACACCAGATGACACACACAATCTTTGTGTTGTTTGTTTGGGGCGAAGAGCATGCATGCGATGTCCACGAGGGGGCAATCTGCGTACATTGCGAGTTTTTTCAAATGAAAAAGCTCCATTCTCGTTTGTCTCTCTTTTCAAGTAAAGAGGGGCAGCCATCTGCTTCCCGCAGTTCAGGACCCGCCGCTGCTGAGGCACGGAGGAGAATGAGCTCGTGGGGATCTCAGGTGGACCTGGCCGATGAGTTTAGAGAGGGGCTTTCCTTCTCACACTCATCGGCAGGGGGTGAGATACAGCCACTGGAAGATGATGTTCTCTCTTTAACATCATCTGATCCAGGGCCCAGTGTTCTGCTGAGTCCAGCCCCGAAAGAGCAGGAAATGGATGAAGAGAGCGAAGAAACTGAGGCTGAGCCTTCTCAATCCTCCTGCCCTGCGTATGATGAGCTCTTAGAGGTTATGGATCGCGCCACGGCAAGACTTGACTTGCCATGGAAGCGGACTAAGGAAGTGGTGTCGCAAGGTCGTCTTGAGGAACGTTATCTTTCTGGTCATAACCCTCCAGCTCAGGTGAGCCTTCCTTTCCTTCCTGAACACCATACTGAGATCGAGAAGGAATGGAATAGGCCGTTTTCCTCATGCATCCATCGGTTTCAGCATACCAGTTATGCGAATATCGAGACTTAACAGGGTATTGCTACTAAGGATCTGTTGAGACAGTTCCTTCACCACATGCAAAGACAAACGTGCGGTAGCCCCTGTGTGACAGACCAAGACTAGTATGATTCTAGGCTCTTGGTCGTATTCCCTTAAAGGAATCTATTTCTGATTCCAAGCCTTGAGCTCTACCCCGGGCCCAGGAGTCTGGCCCTAACAGGTAAGTATTTTGGGGTATGTAGCCTAGGCCTTTGGCCGTAGGGAATAATGTCACTTACAGCCGTCTAATGTCCCAGGGGTGACTCCCATAGCAATATGGTAGAGTTGGTACTTAGTGCTCGCCATGGTTCTGGCTTGCACTCCCCTCAGCATGGTGGCGTGGGTATACCGTTCCCCATAGTGACCCCTAGAGGACGCAGTTCGAAGTTCCCATGAAAGGGAACGTCTCGGGTTACTTATGTAACCATGGTTCCCTGAGTAGGGAACAAGATACTGCGTCCTCTAGGTTTCTTGCCATGCTGCGGACGCAAGCTTCAGACAAAGAAGTGAATGATGTGTAGCTCCCGGCGCCTATTTATACTGTAGTCGCACCGGTAGTGACGTCATGGCTGTTGCCGGTCAACGAGTTGGTGTTTTTTCAATGTATGCTTCAGACACGGGTCACGACGAGGCGTTCCCCATAGCGACCCCTAGAGGACGCAGTGTCTCGTTCCCTACTCAGGGAACCATGGTTACATAAGTAACCAGAGACGTTCTGTCATATTAACTAATACAATTAATTTGGATGTTACTACATAAAGCACATTTTTTTCATTTCTTGACCTTTATTGCAGTGTAGAATATTGTCTGTTTACTTTGAGGAAATCATGAAAATCATGGTATGGTTCTCGGCATATTATATATATAACACTTTTTGGGGGTTCAAATGAATAATAAGCTATAAGATCTCATTTTAGAGGTTTATCAGCTGTTGAAAAGAATTGGGGCTGCTCTTGGGCCGAAACAAACTTTAGACATGGGTTGGGGTGTTAGAAAGGGGGGCTTGTTGTGCTATTCCACATTTTAATAGTGTACATTTGCATAGAATTACATATTGCACACCAGTGCATATTTGCCATCCTTTTTTAATGCAAAACATGTTTATTATACTTAATAAACTATACTTAATAAACTATTGAGCTTAACAACTACCTTTCCCTTGACTGTAAATGCAAGTCCTTCTTGGTCCATGAAACCAGCATCTAGATGAAAACACAAATCAATATACTCGTTACAAAGCTCAAGGCAACAAATCAAGACTCAAGTAAAACCGCCGAAACATAATTGTATAATAAACACATCTGGAGATAATAAAATGTTTAAATGCCCCAACCGAGAGAGTCTTTTGCAGGTCAACAGGCGTCTCGACAAAATTTGAAAATCTACAATTACTCCAGTCTTACAACTCTATTGGCAATGCTTTTCGTGAAGCCTGTAGCTAATGCATTCATAAAGTGAACCAAACTGAGAGACCATTTTGAAGGCTCAGGAAACCTTTGCAGGTGTTTTGAGTTGATTAGCTGATTGGCATGTCACCATATTCTAATTTGTTGAGATAGTGAATTGGTGGGTTTTTGTTAAATGTGAGCCAAAATCATCACAATTAAAAGAACCAAAGGCTTATACTTCAGTCTGTGTGCATTGAATTTATTTAATACACGAGTTTCACAATTTGAGTTGAATTACTTAAATGAACTTTTCCACGACATTCTAATTTATTGAGATGCACCTGCACACTATAATCAGTTGTTCTCATGAATAATTTCATCCACAGTTATAATGCATTAGAATACTGACCTATAGTGTAGATATAAAAGAATATAGTGCATCAACACACAGCTTCAAGTATTATATCAAGTGCTATAGCCTAATACATTGTATTCTTTAAAAGTGTAGGCATTATATCTGTGGTTACAATTACTGGGTTAAAAGTTTGATATATAAATCGAGAACACCTGCTTTATATATAGACTTCCGATACACTTCTCTCACAGAGTCATGCTGCATTAAGAAGGCACTTAAGTCTATTAATAGAGCTCGCAAATTAGATTAGTCGCCTCTCTGCGTGTTTAAATTGTTCAAGCGATTCAAGCGATACTTTTATGTTTTGTTAAAAGATAAAAGATGTCTAGATAAATAGTTTATGCGTGCATGTATGTAATAGCTTGACGCGCTCAGGTGCTCGCATATAAAGAGCGGTTTCAGGTATGTATGGGCACCTGCTCCCTTTACCTGTTCCAGCAGGCTGTGTGTCGGGTCGCTCGCGTGTAGTGCGAGGATCATGCGTTCCTCCATCTGCAGTCAGAGGTCGTAACATTCTCGCTCTGCTCCAGTCTGATTCGCGGAAGTCATGTTAATAGTCGTGCAGGCATTCCTGAGCGCATGTCAGAGCGGAGGGAGCATTATAACTCACCTGCGTCCTCAAGCGACGCAACACAAAACGCGACGCTCCATTCATAAGCAACAAAGCGGCACAGGCGCGCTATATCGAACATACTTAGAAGATTGCATTCTTCTTCGAATATATTTAGTCGATCTCGCTGCTTCCAGTGAGGTTCGCATTTGGAGCGCTGAATATATGCAATGCATATTTAGAAGGAATACCGTGGCTTTTAAACGGTAAAATTATATTGATTTTATTTATATTTTCTCTCAATTCAGTACACTAAACATAAAACTGGAATAATCGTAAAATAATCTAAAATACAAATAAATCATCCATTTGAAACTCCTTGTAAGTCAACTATAAATGATAATAAATAGACGTGGCCTATATTATGGAAAATAAATTATTAGAATTAAAAGAGCTCGGTGGGGGCGAAAAATTCTTAAATATAATTTTTTTTTAATGATTTGAGCAGTTTACTCAGGACTAGTTCAAAAACAGTTAAAAACGAAAAATACACCAGTAGCCTGGATCTCCAGACCGACTTTTACAAGGTACATTTTATGTCAAATGCCAAAAAGCAGCATGTGTCGCAACTGTCAACTCAAAGACTGTATAGACAAATTCTACCACACGTTTACTTCGATAGAGGTAAAAACTTGACTGCATCTTCAGCGCTCGTGGTGAGAGATGTTGAAAAAGGAAAGACGCGACACAAAAGTGCGCTGAAGGTGTAAGCTATTGAACATTTTTTTTAAAAGACGGAACGCAAGAAAGCGTCGTGTGTGAACGGCCCTTATGTCGAGACCAAATGAAGAGGACCTTGTGAATTTGAGTGGACGCTGTGTGTGTGTGTGTGTGTGTGTTAGAGAGAGAGAGAGAGAGAGAGAGAGAGAGAGAGAGAGAGAGAGAGAGAGAGAGAGAGAGAGAGAGAGAGAGAGAGAGAGAGAGAGAGAGAGAGACGGGCAGGAAAACTCAGCTTGAGCTCTTCTTTCATTCTCCTTGAGGAAGCGCACGGAACTCGAAACATACTTTCGAAGAC